CAAGTAACGGGGGTTTGTTTGACGAATACGAGGACTGTTAATGAATTTAAGTTTCGGTTTAGGTATGGTAAAAATGTATTTTGATTTTGTCAAGAAAATTTTTCAAAGATGATTCTGAGAAAATGTATTTTTTTTTGTCTTGTAAAAAAATATTCTATTATATTTAATATCATTGTTTTATAGATATTCTCTTTCTAAATTGAAAAGTTTTCCAATGGGAATTATTGTAGGTTGTACATTTCGAAGTGGAAAATTTATTTTTATCTGCCCACGATCGTCGTCCACCACCCCCACCTGCTCCTCCCTCCTACCCCTGTTTCTCTCCTTCGTAGTTTCGATTTCTTCGATCGTCTACTATTTCTTGAAGACAAACGTTAAACTCTGTTGGAAAAGGAATACGAGGAAGAAGAAGAAGAAGAGGGTGCAATTTTATAAATACTTTACTACACAGGAGCATAGTTATTTTTGTACCAATAGAAAATCGTTCCCGCCTAGGGATACTACTATACTATCTATCTTCCTAATTCTCTTTAGAGGGTCTACGTGCATTTTGAAATTTTAACATTTTTACGTACGAGTTTTCTATTCCCATTTGTTTTAACAATACGTTCGTTTGTTTTTCTTAAAGTTGCGAAACATTACTTTTTCTGATTTTTAATCAATATATCTTTTATTTTAATTATTATTACTATAATTTAATTAGATGCAGTATTATTATTTATTATTTATAATTAATTTGTTAAATAAATGGATCAGTTATAGTGCACAAATTTTTCCATCGATATTAATAATTTATGATTAATATCAAATTGTGTATTGTATATCACAAATAGAAATAGAAATATCTTTATATCATTTGCAATATTTAATATTAAAATTATTTACTATATCATATTTTATAAATTCTCTTATGAAACACGATATATTAAATTTATTTCTTATAGTTAAAAATAAAATAGTTTGAAATAATAATATTAGAAATATTTAATATAAACAAATGACTAGGACAGAAATGATGCACCACCAGATTCCAATCCATCTAATAGAATATTACCAACAATTAATAATTAAAAAAATAAAAAAGATAGGAAAAAAGAGAAGAGAAAAAGAAAAAACCAAAACATAGGACAAAAAAATAGAAGAAAAAAAAATGTTGATAACGAAACGTGTATAGGCAATGAAACAAACGGGGTACTAGTACGTTCAATTCGGTCACTGTTTTAATCGCGAATAATAGACGTCTCTTCGACCGACGTTAACTTCCCATTCTCCCCCCTAAAAGCCAGCCCCACCTAACCAACCCCTCCCAGCTACCCTTGCTCGTCCCGTTCTTCCTCATCCTTCCGGACTACGGCATCCGTGTTGCTATTATACACGCTCGCGAGAACGTAGTCACTGTAGTCGCTTTGGGACAGATTCATATAATTGAATTCGGTTCACTGAGCTTCGCTTGCTAGCTCCTGGAAACGTTCGCTCTTGCTCTGTTGCTCTTGCTATTAGAGAATACTCAAACGAAACAAGACTATGTATAATACAACTATACGTGTCATATATGTGTATCTATAGAGGTATGTGTTAACATGTGTATTTGGATATATACTCTAAGTATTAGTATAGTTCTATAGGTAACTGTAAGTGTATTGGTAAATATCTAGATGTGTGTGAATATTGGGTATATATATATATATATATATATATATATATATAGTAAATGGGCTAGTTTTCAACTGAACCATTGAGGCTAACGAGAGAATAACGAGCTACGACGAGGACTACAACGACAACAACGACATGGGACATAGATGACGACATAGACATTAGATGACAAAGAGACGAAGACATTACTGAAAGGAATAAAGAGATATCTCTACGTTCGACTGGTTTGATCAATTTCAATAATGTTGTTCAGTTTAAAGTATGGAAGTAATAGTAGTAGTAGTAGGGTAGTTTCAATGACTATCTAATAGTATCCGGTTGTTCGTATATAGAATTTAACTGTTCAACAATTTTCAATGAGTTTAGGTTATTCTGTTATTAGTAGATTGATTAAACGTTTTTGGTATCTTGGATCTTATCATAGGATTCCATTGGGATTGTGCATTGTAATTCGGTTAAGATTGTGTCAAAATGGGATTATCCTTTCATAAGAATTGATTTAAGGTCGTCTTATGGTTGCATTAGGATTGGATTGAGATTTGATCAAGTTTCTGTAACGTTTCTATTAGAATTTTGTTATAGGGATCTGTCGAAGGGGGATTTATTGATGTTCAAAGTACTGTTTGCAATTGTTAACTTTATTCTAAGAGTTTACAATAATTTTTTTTGTTGATTAACCGATAGTTAATATCTTAAGAAGAAAAAAAAGGATTCTAACCTATAAGATATCTTAAGAAAAACAAAATGGATTCTAATCTATAAGATATCTTAAGGAAACAAAATGGATTCTAACCTATAAGATATCTTAAGAAAAACAAAATGGATTCTAACCTGTAAGATATCTTAAGAAAACAAAATGGATTCTAACCTATAAGATATCTTAAGAAAACAAAATGGATTCTAACCTATATGATATCTTAAGAAAAACAAAATGGTTTCTAACCTATAAGACATCTGAAATATAATTAACCTATAAGATATATCTTAAATATTAAGATAATAAAAAAAGATAATAAATCGCTCCTAGAAATGACAATAAAAAAAAAGCTATTATAACAGAACAAAGTAGAAATAAAATGAGGAATAAGAAGAAGAAAAAGAAGAAGATATCTTATGAAGTTTCGTATGATTAAAAAATAATGTCAATTTATTGAGTTGTGTATCGTTCGGATGGTATTGGTGTAGTAATTTTGTTGCTGTTGCAGTAATAGTTGAATGAAACTGAGTGAAAATGAAAGTTAAAGAGAGGGTATGTGTATGTGTGTGAGATAAAGAGAAAGAGAAAATCGACAAAGAAGGAGGTGCAGAGGGAGAACGAACGTTGAGGTTCAAGTAACGCTGTCAAACCGGATCCGTTTGTCCGTGAAAAGAGATGATCCGCTTCGTTGAGCAACGCGTACAAGTTCTGTTACGCGCCCTGCTGTGGTACATGTAAATGAGCGGAATTTATTCGAGACCACGTTGGAAAAGCGTTGGTAGACGCTAATCGCAAAGGTAGATCGGTTTAACGAAAGAGGGAGAATAAAAGTGAAAGAGAGAGAGAGAAAGAAAAGAGAAAAAAGAAAAAAAAAAAGGTAAAACGAAAGAGAAGAAAAGATAGTCGATGCGAATAAAACGACACGGATAAGTCGGATAAGCCGATCGGATAAATTTACGGTTCTAAATCGAAGCCAAAAAGTAACATGAGAGGAAACTGGATATGTGTGGTTGGTTATCAGCAAATATTGGTATTAAGTTGATAAAGATGAAATAAACTTTTTTCATCATTTGGATCTTAATCTATAATTTTTCCTTCTTTTTATATTATTTTTTATAAATTAAACGTGTTACAGGGGGGTGGAGTTATATTTAATTTATAATAGTATTGAATTAATCAATGTTTAACAATTATTTCATAAATTATTCTACTATAATAAATAGTTAATTATTAAATACTATAGTATAATGTGATGCTACATTACTATTTTACAAAGCTAACCACAAAAAAAAAGTTTTACAAATTATTTCATCAACTTAATCGTATTATTCTCTAAAATTGTATCCCGAAACAATAAATTATTTCTATCGATAGAATATATTTACAAATTACTATACAAAATAATACAATCTCCTCAACACAAAAAAAAAATACATACTTCATACAAAATTTTAACAAAAGGAAGGTATTAAAACGAATGAAAAAAAAAAATTGAAAATGAAATAATTTAATACACTAACAAGAGTTATATATATATATAATAAGAGTCTCATAAATGATTTTGCGAACTTACAAATGCTACTAAAATTTCCTACCTAATGAGAGTGAAACGTAACGACGATGAAAGAGAAGGGGTTGGAGGGTGAGGGTGAAATGAAACTCATGGAAAAGAGAAGATAGCATCTAGAATACGAGTACGCGTAACACACACACACACACGCATGTTTTACGTGAGAAACGTGAAAACGTGTATAAAGGAAACGACGATGTACGAGTATTAAGCGTTGGCACTTATCTGCGACACGTTTACCGACAACACATTTTCCCTTTCTCTCATTTTCTATCTTTTTCCATTGCTTTCTCTATCTCTCATGCGTGTAGCTCGTTTTCGAGAGATCGAACGAACTCCCCACATCAAGGCAAACTTCACACTAAGAACATGCTTCCTACAAGAGTGTGAGAGATTGAATTCGCAAATATTGCTTCCAGGCTTTAAGAAGAATCCTAAACGCGATCTTTCTTAAACTTAAACTTTATCTTTTAAAGATATTAAAAGTGATTTAAGATACGTATATATATATATTATCGGTAATATATTTTTAACTATTAGTTTAATTCTAAAATAGTAATTATACAGATCACAAATAAATGGAATTGCAAATATTATATATATATGTATGTATGTTAATGGTAATTATGATTAAAACATTACTCGATTATTCATCGAGTATTCTAAGTAGTACAAATCAACCTCTCCCATCTGGTCAGACATTATTAAGTAATAAAATTATAATATAATTAAAAACATAATTCTACTTATTAATCATTGATATAACAATATAAATTGTTTGTGAAAATTAATTAATATATAAAATTTTAACGTTAATATATAAATATATTTAATTAAAA